CCCCCCCCACCCCCTTCCCCCCAATTACAACAAGGTTTTCGTGCTTCTTAAATTCAGCTTGCCGTTACCTACGAACGTTTTCCCCACTTTTTCTCCAAATAGGTTGGTCCACCAACAAATCACAAGACAAGGCCACTAAATCTAGCGGGGATATAATAAATATTATTTTGGAGGCTAGGTCCCCCAGTAAGCTGAGGGTCTGGATGAGCTACCCCTCCCCCTCCCCCAACGGATTCGTTACGAATAAGGAAGGTCTTTCCATCTTTTATGTATAACCTTGAGACCAGTTTCTTTATTATGCACCAATACCTTACAAAATAAATGCAGCATTGCTATAGGTATAAAATAGGGCTACAAAAAGTGCTGTTACACTACATAGACTAAAATAATAACCTGACCTTATTGGCGGTTTTCAAACCGACTGCACGCTTTGCACTTAATACATAAATTTATAGTTACTTGAATAATTGTAACAACTATATATTTGCCAAGCTCCTACTCAGCATAGGATTCTGGGAGACAACCCACCTATCCCTCCCCACCCCTGACCTGAACACTTTGCCCAAGTGGGAAGTCAACATTGAGTTAAGGGACAGGGTGAACTGGGGAGGGGTAGTTAGACAATTGGGGCAGTTTCCAAGAACCTTACACTCATCCGCTCCGGTATTTTGGGTTGTTGTACCTTGTATACTAACATATACTACCTGGTAGGGGGAAGGTGGGGGAAGGTGGTAATTATGCAAAATACGGGTGAGGATGTACAACAACAAAAATTGTATTTTTTTCCACCCTTTTTCAGACTTGAAACGCTGTTTTCAAGGGACAAATGCTCACAGAAAAAACCTTACTCCCGATAACCGATACCCAAAACCCAATTTAGGCCAAAAGCCCTAAAAAAAAAACAATACTCTTTGGGGCACACATTGACATACCTAAATTAGATGTACCTTAGTCATGTAAGGGATTAATCCCACTCCCCGGGGATAAACAATGAAGTACAGAACTGTATTTATTTAAACTTTTCTATAGTATTGGATGTGGCAATAAAAACTTTACAAGATAAAAGATCCCCGCCATAGCCCAGAAAGGATGGACACGAATGGGACACTTGAAGGTCCCCTACAAGGTGAGGCGCTATGCCTACTCAACCTCACAATCCATGACCGACAGGCACTAGGGACAGTCACTGTCATAAATAATTTGTCATATCTCTTGCAGTATTTTCATTTAAAGGGGGCACACTATAAACAATCTTGCTGCCCCTACAAATATCTATCTGTTGTCAGTAGGATGCCTAAAATGCCTTCAATGCCACAACTCATTTCAGCTTCAAGGTGTTGTGATATAGGGCCTACATTTACTGTTGAAGTCTACCAAGTGCGACCTTATGTAGATGTCAGAGCAAAGGCAGCACTTTCTTATCAGTTATTGCAATACCCTGAGTGTTGGTCCAGCTAGGAATGGACCTAACACTCGCTGTTACTCAATAAATAATATTACACATGTAGTAAGTCAAACAGTCAATTTATCAAACTTGAGACACAATTGCAGTGTTCCATCACAAGTCAAACACCGAGAAGGGGCTTACAAAAATGACATCAGTTTGTTGGTTGAGTTTATTTAAGGGTTGAGATAATGGTTGTGACTAAGACTTCTACAGGAGGATGCACCTAAACAGGGGACAACTAAAGCCAGGCCCAAGCATGACCATTTGAGAAATTCATTCTCTCAGGGTTGAAACTAAGGGCTGGAGGCTGGGGATTTCCCTCAACTTCTGCGAGCATGATCCCTGGCTACTTTCACAGGAGACAAAAGGAAAACATGACCTAGCCTGTGAGCAAGCTCTCTGAGGCGCTCTGATGGCAGGGCAGGGGAAGGAAGGAGAGCTTGCAACCATGTCTCTGGAATTTGAATTCCACCTCCAATTCCCCTGTGGCTCCCTGCCAACTGAGCTGTCAGATTTCCGCTAATAAGAGCGGAGTGGAAAAGAGCATGGATGTAAATAAACTTTGAAAAACACGTGCCAAGGGTAATGATGTCATTATTAATGTCATCTCCACCAATCAGCATTTTGCATCGACTTTTTCAATGCAGATATTCAAATTCCAGAGATGTAGTTGCAAGCTGCTGTCCTTTTTTTTCCCAGGGAGCTTGTTCACAGGCTAAATAGGACCAAAGTTATTCCCAGATGTTCAATTCCCTTCCTACTAATTGCATATACCCAGACTTGAAATCCTAGCATCAGTCCTGTTCACTGCATTGCCCTTAGTTTGTACATAAGTGTTGTCCTAATAAGTGAAGAACAGTTAAAGGCATCAAACTCTTCACAAGTTACACCCATGTACTAAGTCTGGCCAATGCTATATTGCAAACTTACATGTCTGGGTCACTGAAGTTCTTTAAGACCGGTAAAAGCTAACCTTTTCTTATGTACAGTCATTCTTTGTGTCAGCATGCAATCCTCGGGGAGAAGCACTGTAGGATGACACAAAGACTGAAGCTAACCCAAGGTTTACCTTAAAGGGGTTATGTCATGAGGATATTCGCCGTTTTGGTCATTACTTAGTGCTGTTACCAATGCACAAAATGCTCCTGTGTAGTCAAGAAGATATCAAACCAATTTCAACAGGGAGCACTAAAAGTCCCAATATCAACATACAAATTCTCCACACTGATCTCCAAACATTTCCCTTAAGAATCAGTTGAGAGAATTTAATAACAGATCAAGGTATTTTCTCTTTGGCCATCATTTGTTAATTCTCATAACTGTATCTCTTGAAAATTACTGGATATTGTTAGGAGAAAATTGATGTTGGTCACTATCGGGACTTAAAAACTTGAAAATGTTGACCCAACCTTTTTCAAGTTTCAATCCATGATCATCCTTGCCATTCCTTGCAAAAGATGACAGGGAACAGTTTTAATGCGTAAACAACAAAACTGGACCATTATTTTTGGAATTCAATTGATGCAAACAAATTAGCATTTCAAAAAGATAGGAAATAGCATGAATTAAACCTTGACAAGGCTTACCTTCTTATGGACTATTTTTGATAGTCATTTGGGGTTAGAATAACTTGGTCTATGCCTTAAGAAACCAGGGAATGCAAGGCTGTGCTCCAAGAAAAATTGAAGAGAGTTCAGTGCTCTGTACCTATAAAATCCAAGGTGACCAGCATATGATTTGCATGGAAAAAACTAACATTTCAGTAACAACAGAGCAAAAATTGGGTGCCATGGACCACTGGGCTCCGCTAGAGCACAGCCTAGGCCTGGATTATACAGCTAGCTACATCGAAAATATCATGACCGTGCAAGTTCTCAACTATTTCAGGTTGTTGCCTGCAGATTCTGGTAAGGAACAGGTGCACCACTCTTCTTGTAGCAGCAATGACCTTTTGATTTGCAGAGCAAGATGCCAAGCATGGAAGCAGCAATCACCACGATGAGCATTGGCCACAGTAGGCTATGCAGTATCTTCATGTAATCACTATATGTATCTGCATGCTGCACAAACACTTCACCCAGTGTCTTGGGGTTGTAGTAACAAGCAAATGACTGACCAACAGTGCCATACTCTTCTTTGAAGTCTTTAACATCATAATAGTTGATACTTTCATCTGAATAACATGGTTGAACACTGCACTGTAATGCAAAATAAGTCCTGATATGAATAGGTTGGCTCATCAAAAACTCCAAAAATGATCTTTGAATCAAACAGCATCCTCACAACATTTCATATTGTTTGTTGCCCACGACATTGTGAGGCCGAGTGGTTAGAGCATTGGAATTGCAATCCGGATGCCCTGACTTCAATTCCTGTACTAATCATAACTATAACAAAATGCGCACATCTGATTGGCTATCAACTGTCCTGATTTCAGCACTAATAGGACAGTGTAACAGCACAGTACNGCTAGCTACATCGAAAATATCATGACCGTGCAAGTTCTCAACTATTTCAGGTTGTTGCCTGCAGATTCTGGTAAGGAACAGGTGCACCACTCTTCTTGTAGCAGCAATGACCTTTTGATTTGCAGAGCAAGATGCCAAGCATGGAAGCAGCAATCACCACGATGAGCATTGGCCACAGTAGGCTATGCAGTATCTTCATGTGATCACTATATGTATCTGCATGCTGCACAAACACTTCACCCAGTGTCTTGGGGTTGTAGTAACAAGCAAATGACTGACCAACAGTGCCATACTCTTCTTTGAAGTCTTTAACATCATAATAGTTGATACTTTCATCTGAATAACATGGTTGAACACTGCACTGTAATGCAAAATAAGTCCTGATATGAATAGGTTGGCTCATCAAAAACTCCAAAAATGATCTTTGAATCAAACAGCATCCTCACAACATTTCATATTGTTTGTTGCCCACGACATTGTGAGGCCGAGTGGTTAGAGCATTGGAATTGCAATCCGGATGCCCTGACTTCAATTCCTGTACTAATCATAACTATAACAAAATGCGCACATCTGATTGGCTATCAACTGTCCTGATTTCAGCACTAATAGGACAGTGTAACAGCACAGTACACTTCATTCCTAAGTAATTGGACAGTACGTGCCATCACATGTGCGCACTTTAATGGCTTTTTTTACTCCTAACAAAAAAACGCTCAGAATTTCTTGTTTTAATTAAACTAAAATATCACAAATTTTGTTATAGTTATGATTAATAATTAATATTGCTTTAATTGCTTACGTTGTGTCATCCAATTTGGTCTGTACTCATACGCGTCATTAAACAAATCTGACAACTGCAGGATTCTGTTAATCACTTAAATTGGACTCCACTCAGTTCTATTACCATTATTAACCGCTAGCTGGATTTGATCTCAGAAGTCTCTAGTTCAACTCCTCAGACACTCCGCCAAGCTGGGAAGTTCTTAATCTCGTTATGTGTGTCTCAGTTATTTGTTTCTGCCAAAATTTGTGGATCACAGTGAAAACTACTGGGTCATCAGTAATTGCACCACCCCTATAAAGTCATGTTTGTGATAACAACTAGGAGTAATTGAAGCTTAGGAAAGTGCGTTCGATATGTTTGTCAGGAGTACAGGTAGCAGTTGACGGGAACGGTTGCAAACCTTAAGCTAAACACTCAAAGGAGAAGTGCACCAAGTAGGTGTGCATTTTAGGAGGAGGAACGGAGCATCCTTATTTCTGTGACATAAATGCAACCAAACATATTTTTTTAACATGGAAAGATGTTTAATTATTACATGGTACAAAACTGTGTCAACTATTGGCATCACGTTCTGTATGTAAGTGAAGGGTCAAACCACGTGACAGCGACTTGAAAAAAAGATTTCTTTCCTTTGTTTGTTTGTTTATTTATTTTAATGTTATCCACATTTTTTTTTCCATCCGCATTTTCCCATCCGCATCCTCCATCCGTAGGTATCTGGTCCACGTTTTACAGACACCCATTTTTCAGGCCTGGGAAATGAAATTCATAAATTCCACAACTTTCCAGGTTTTCCATGACCTGTACGAACCCTGCTAGCATTGATCCCTACTTCTCTTTGCTCCCTTTATTTGACTCGCTATAAGATGTACATCTCTCTAAGATAGACACTCGGTACCAGTCCCAAAGGTGTCCCTCTTAGAGAGAACTGACTGTATTACAAGTTTAATTATTAGGATTAGCTCAATTGGTAGAGTGCTTGACTGCAAAGTGGGTTTAATTCCTAGGGCCAGATCAATACTCAGGGTCTTAAAATAACAGAGAAATGAATGTACTGACTTTCCCCTGCATGCAAATGGCTAGACGTTCGCATGGCTTGCATGTCCACCTAAAAATGGCAGCACCGTCTCCAGTAGAAGACATAAAAATAGTGTCCTCAATTAGTACTTTCATGCTAAATACATTGACACTCAAATAAAGTGCTTTTTTTAGGTTATGCTCACCTTATTCTTATCGTCGTATACATCTTGATACAGATAACCTTTCTGCCGTTTTCCACTGGAGTAGTAAGAAACTTGAATCTGTAAGCAAGGGTAAGATGACGTGCAATAACGACCACAGTCACAGCTCTTATCCTCTGTAGTAATTTCACCGGAAAGAACCTGACACTGACCACGCTGAAGACGAAGATCCGTAAGTGTAGGACCGACAATAAGAACACCCAGAATGATAAGGAGGATAAGTCCCACCAAGAAAAGGCTGATTCCCAACCTGGTAAGTCGCCATGTACAGCTCCTTCGTGCCACAAATCTACGCGTCATCACTGCTGTTGCAATTCCACGTCGGATGACATGCTCCTGCTGAACATGTACTTCTTGTGGGCCTGTTTGTGGAGGGAATCCTTGGGGATGAAACTGTGGATGTTGTTGAGCTCCTGGTTGGGGGAATGGTGGGTAGCCTAAAATAATTGAAAAAAAAATTAACAACTTACAACAAACAAAAACCCAACTAAACATGTATAAGAAGACTGGCGAATGAGTGGTACTCAACATTGAAGTTTTTGTTACGCTAAAATCCTATGGGTATTCCTCAATTTTGAATAAACGTCAAGTCTCACTAACTATTGCTCAGAAAGTACAGTGTAGTCAAAAGTTTATCGAAAGTGTCCATACTTTTCTGTGTGGTTTTGTTAGTAAGTGCGAGTTGAAATTAGTATTTAACTGCAAATTTTTGACTCTGAACAAGCAAACTGTTTTCCTGTCATTTTCAAAAAAGGGCTTAAGACAGAAACAAAACCACATCAGATTTCTTTCTTACCTGATAGCTAAATGCACAAGTGTACAAAAACTGGAAGAATTCATTTTTCAACTCGTACAATGAAATCAAGACTTCATTTCAGATGTTTAATGCTAGGTCACTATTTCTTTCACATTTTCAGACAAATTTCAGACAAACAGTTCAGAAACTTAACTGAATCATTCCGTTAAATTCTAAGTATATGCAGACAAAAGAAATTAGACTGAAACAATATGATCAATTGGCTTGGTCCCCATATGTAATCTAAGCACTGCTATGGACCTTGTGTATCCTCTAGCAGTGCCCACTGGCCCCTGGCACCTAACTTTTGGCTTAAGGCAACTACATAAATTTTCCTTTCTAGCAAAGCTTAATCCAAATTTTAACAGAGTGTCCCAGAGTGCCTGCACACGAAGAGCTGGTAGTGGAGCCTCGATCCTTACTAACTATTGTCAATAGAAAATGGAAACCCACTGATGCAGTCTAAATGGGCAAGAATTCTTTTCCAAGCCTGCATTGTATTACTGCGATCAAATTTGATTTAAAATTTTTTGCTGTTAATATATATACATATTAGTTTGATAGAAGATTTTTTTCATTTTATGAGATACATTTTTTTAAAAAAACCATCACACTTTTCCCTCCTAAAGTATATATATTTTCTGGATTCCATTGCAATTGGGTAAACCTTATTTGTTTAAAGTTTATTGTTCCAAGTAAGTTAAAACTATATAAACAGATGCTTTGCTTTTCATCTGGCTATATCTATATATTATTAGCTATATCATGTATCTTAGCTTTGAATATTCGTAATGGGAATGATATCGAGCAAGAAGGTGCTAAAAAGCTTTTGTTGTATTATCGCTTTCATTGCATCAAATATTTTTTCTGTATATTCTGAAATTTAATGTAATCTAAAGGGATGCCTCTTGGGCTTCTTTTATCAAGCTTGATATTATTATTAATATACATCATGGCTGATTTTCACGTTGTTGGGTATATGGGGTATTTCTTGGTGTTGCGGAAAGTATTGCAAGCCCAAGAATTTCACGGTAATGATCGTTTCTGGTACCATTTCACTACTATGGTCTTAAAATAATGGAACCCAAAAACAGTTTCCCAGTGACATTTTCAGCCTTAGGGTTCAACTTGGATTGGCCAACTTTGTCTAAGTGGCCCTGGTTACAGTAGTTGCACTGTAATCATATTCCGGAAAAAACCATCTAGAGACCTTCGTAGAGGGTTCTCCAAAAAAGTAGAGTAGATAGAGAAAAATTTATAGTAGGTGTACTTTATCTTGCTCAATGCAAAGATCAAAGAAAGGCCCGGTTCAAATGTCAAATTTCACAGTGCCCAATACTAAACGCAAGAGTTAAATGCATGTCAAGTGCCATGCTTGAATCCATTTAATTCGACTGTTTAAATTAAATGCGACGTTTGCCGTATCTGGGACTAAAACAGTCGAAGATTCGACTTAGGTTCAACTTTTGATTCAAACGTTGCATTTCACATGTGCCTGATTTTAATGCATGAATTTTACTAAATTATTATTATATTACTGTGAATATTGACAGTGAACAGAGTTAAATTCCACAGAGTTCAGAGAGTTAAATTCAACGTTTGAATCAAATGCCGTATTAAACTATTTTTTGTCGACTACAATAGGAATTAAGTTCGGCACATGTGAAATTTGACGTTTGAACTGGGCCTAAGGATCTACACTGATGATGGTAACACAATAACCCTTAGCCTAGATTCTGACACTGATGTTGCGATTTGAAAGAACAATATGGATCTCTATATGGCCCATACAAGTCATATCAATAATTTGTTATTGATGGAGAGGATACTGAACTGTAATGATGCAAGTATTAACTCTTTTGATATTTTTGCTGAAAGCCTAGTAGTCTTGTCGAGCTTGTTACAGTTATGAGAATAAATGTCTCTCTCTTTTAAATGGTCCTATCTATTAACCCATTCGCCCCTGAACTGCCCGTAACCGCCTGTGCGGATCCATGTCCTTTCTACCCTTTGTGACGTCATCAGTTTTAACGGTCAAGGACAACTTTGTCCGCTAACTTGTGCAGAGTGAAGAGATCTTTCAAACCATACCAGAATGAGCACAATTCAGTCAAGGACACCGGAGAAAGAGGCAAAAAAACCATGTAACATTGACCTGAAAATCTGCATGAAAATCTTGTTCCATTGCTCACCTACCTTTCCTTTCACCTAATCCTAAGATCCTAAAAGCCTTCCTAAAAACTATTCCCACCAAAATGAAACCTACTAAATGCCCAGCAAGAGAAAAAAAAAATGAGATAAGAAAAGCCAAAAAAGAGGGGAGGAGAGAAAGCGAAAAGTAAAAGTCAAGACTGCTGTGTCACTTTTAAACCCAAAAACTATCTCAAAATTTTGCTTTCTTCGCATGCCCAAACTTCGCAAGGTTTTTTTTTGTTTTTTTAATTTTTAATTGTTTTTACAAACATAATGCTGACTTACTTACATAGTACTTACTTAGTTACATAAAGGTTTAATACCTACTTACATATAACTTGCTAAGTTAAATACTACTTACTTACATAATATTAACTTACAAGATAATGCTTACAGAACAGGAGCCGATGAGTTGGAGCCTGTTACAAAATAATGAAAAAAGAATTCTAATACAACTAATTACTAACTTACTATCTATTAACGAAGAGTAAATACGCTAAAAACGACAAAAAATAAATAAATAAATAAATAACAAACAAACAAACAAAACAAAAAAGCCAAAAAACAAGGGAAATTAGCCAGAATCAAGAAAATTATTTTTACAGCTTGACTTGCACCTTAGCTTTGCTAGTTTCAATTTGTATTTTATTTTTAAGGATAGACAAAAAACTTCGCAAGCTGATATTTTGCATCTGAATCAGAAGGCCGTGAAGTGTACGACCTGTAAACCGGTTTGTGGTACGTTTTAGCTCTTTATAGCAGGACAGTGGCCAGAAAACCACTCGAGTACCTTCAAAATGCGTTTTTCGGCAAAATCTCCACGAGCGAATGGGTTAAACACCCCCCACACCAGGGGTTTATTAGATCATTTGCAATAGGCCATTTCTGAGTTCCGAAAACTCTCACTTTCAAAAGTACGAGCCAAGGTGCAAAACCTTTCTTGTGACAATAGGTTTTATTTGCATGATAACATAAAATGCTTTTCATATCAATGGCTTCGCACTTGGCCTCGCTTTTACACAGAGACTTAAGGTAATTCATCACATGTGGGTAATTAATAGCGAGCTTATGCAACAGGACGGCAGGAAAAAGAAGACGGAAAACAACAAAATCTGTAAATATAACTATGTCACGCTTGTCATGGCATAAGGTTTGCCGTCTTCTTTCCTTCGCCGTCCTATTGTGCAAGTTCATTACTAATAAACTACCAGATCGAGTTTGATCACCCTGTACCTTGATGGGGATTCCATGTGTATTGTTGCTGTGCTGTTTGAGGCATTCCTGTTTGGTTTGGATACTGCGCCATTGGAACTTGTGAATACGGTGGAGGGAGCTCAACTACTCCATGCTGACTTGGCGCTATTTCGCTCGGTTGGGTCGAAGGACTATTCGCCGCCATGTTGCTAAATGGATCAACAACGTTCGACTGAACTTCGACGTTTGTTTTGTTGTCACTCATCTTTCGCGCTCTGTTGTAGCGTTGTAGTAGTGAGGAAAGGGTTTAATTCTTTGGTTGGACGTCGCAAACAGGTCACCTTTGACAACTGACTACAAACTACCACAATCTTTCGCAGAAGCTAATGGGTATCAATAGCAAAAATAGATAGCGCGCTGGGGACGATGGGAAGAGGGAATCCTTTCCCTTTCCCCTTCCCATCATGCCCCGCGCGCTTTCGTTTTCTTTTTTTCCCCAGCCTCCCTACGACACAAACTGCGGAGGAGAGAGAGGGATCACTGCACAGAGTGTTGTGAAGATTTACTGTGGCCCCAGCGTGACAGAACTTAGCAGGGATTTTATCACCTACACAGACAAAAAAATCATGTAGTTATTCTGATCCAGGCATTTCGGAGAAATCTTAAGAAACTAAACAAGCTCGTCCCCAGGGCTTTTCCCTCAAAAAAAGCCCTGGGGACGAGGTTGGAAACTAAAACCTTAAAAAGCTATAACGCTTTAAAAGAGGTCAAACAAAATGCCTAAACTCTGCATCAGAGGTCAAACGAAGACCACAGGAAATCAACATGTGTGAAACCATCTTCGTGACCTCTCGCAGTCGCTATGTGAGACAACTGGAAAAAAAAAAACATACTTTCTCAGTAAAATTTAAGAATCCTCCACAGTTCCACAGCATAATTTACCCGCTCGAAAGTAAAGAATTGAACAAATGGCGTTTTAACATGAGGTAAACGTCGTGCAGCGGGTCTGCCGCACAAAACTGCTGGGGCAGTGAAACTACGGGGAGATTGGGACGGAAGCAACGAGAAATGTTTCTCGCGGCCTCGCCGCCCGTTCGCGCGTGCGCTTGCCGCCCAGTACTCTGCCCGACAAAACCGCCATGCTACACCGGCTAACCGCTCTACCGAGGCCTTCATGTTTTTCATTGCAGTGAGTAAAAAAATGACCCACGAATAACATGTAAAAGGTCAATGACGAAAATAACCAGAAACCCATATCGATCTCCCAGTTCTGTTAGCAGTTGTAGTATAGTGCGTATTCGGTGGACAACGCAGGAAAAAACGCGTCCCAAATATGAGAGATGCAGTGTTCATCTTCAAGTATGTCGTGCGTTCGTTTGTTGCGTGACAAATATGCGAAAACGCTCACCTTGTAATTTATTTTAACTGTTATTTCAACAGTTATCAGACGAAGCCTGTGCACAAACACCCACTCCCCCCACCCCCCACAAAAAAAAAAAAAAAAAAAAAAAAAAAAAACGGGGGGGGGGGGCGTTTTAAAACAGGTTAACAAAAAGAAACTTTATTTTTTTTTTTTTTTCACATTTTTTAAATTTTTTTTTAACCCGGTTAAAATAAAATAATTGGTGGGCTAAATTTTTTTTAATTATTTTGATAAAATTTTAAAAAAAATAACTCCATCAGGCACTGTGTTTTAACGTGTTGTTTAGCAATCTTTTTTTTTGCGCGCTTTTAGAGT